AGTAGCAAAGTAGCGAGCATAACAAGTTCATAAAAGTGAGCAATAACACTTCAAGTAGCAAATCTCAAAATGAGCGAGTAAAAAATTCTTTTCTAAAAGAAACAATAACACTACGAATAACAATCAAAGTATAAGAATACAGATGGCTCTCAGAAGCCAATTTCCCGTTGCTTCACCAGAGTTTGATCAAGTATTAGTTGACACTCCGTCAACCTTCAAGTAAAGTAACCAATCCAGTAGTGCTTTGCTTAACACCAATTTATCCACCATTCAACCATCTTACCAGGTCCGAACACCAACTAAACATTGGTGGTAATACTCGAGCATATTAATTAGCGAGAAGATATCACTCCACTCGACAAAACAAGATACGCATGGTTCGTTATCTAATCGACCAATCCCTTGCCGGCTCGACTCGATTAACTAGTCGTGGGGTTTGGGTTTCCAAGTAGTCATTATAGTCGATGACCAATCGACTTAGTCAAGAGAAAAGTACAGAGACGGGAATGAGAGGTACCTCCCACTCGTATTGAGTGTGGTACATACTGTCGTTCAGCACATACAAATCAAATACAAATACAAATACAAGTACATGTCAATGATAATCAAGTCACTTGTACAAGCATGAATGAAATATCAAGTGATTAGTTGAGTTAGATCAAGTGCGATAAAGTACACACTTGCCCAACCAAATCAAGCAAATCTTATCCGATTACATTGGTAAAGAATTTAATCATGTATTTAGAAGCACTCACCAAAGGTTTAGTGCTTTTCAAAATTACGTTCAGGTCCAACTCCTTGGTTGGAGTCCAAATCTGCGATAAAATATCATTTAAAAATGTAAAACTCTCTAGAGTTCGAAACATAAAAGTTTCGCTTTAGAAAATCAAATAAATGAAACTCATTCAAGTATTATTCATTTTGCTTATCACACCCTAGAAAACTCATGCTCGCTCTTTTAGTTTCGGAAGCGGTTCAAACGTTTAAATTCGTAAGGTGGCTAAAAGATGAGAAAATATATTCCGAATGGTCGCTACTTTCATTTTTCCAAGGTATGAGTTTTGGCCAAATTTTAATTTATATACCTCTACGAAAGAAGACTTGAATACTATAGACAATTCAAGTTCAATTCAACTTTAAATCTTTGTTCAAGTCGCGAGTACACACGTTTAATCCTTGAGTGAAAATTTGGGCAGCATGCCCTTTGTATTTAGCTATTTTCCAGCCACTTATGGCTTTATTATTTTCCTCAACTCAACCCAAATTCACACATAAGCAGTCTTAACACAATAGCCTTTCAACTAAGTTCAAATTCATCGAAACACAAGGCAATTCTAACAATGCAACCATCAAAATCAAAGATGGAAACCAATTCTAAAGACAAATGGCTAAGTAACAGGTTTGACATCTTCCGGCGTTTTGGTCACAGCTGAAGCCATGCTTATCGGATTGGGATAAATTTTATGGTGTTTCGAAGCTAAGACAGAGACCTACATGTCCTACGAAGACATCGACGCCCAGTTCTTGCATTTTCAAGGTCAAAAAATGAAATTTCAGAGAAAACAGAAAACTGTCAGTTAAATTGAGCATTTGGCAGTCAGGGGTATTTTAGTCATTTAAAAAGCTACAGTAGTCTGATTGAACTGAAATTTTACAAGTTACTATATAACTCAATTTTCTACAACTTTCATGTTTTGATCAAGACCTGATTTGGCCTCTCTCATGAACGAACATGCAGTGCCAAAATAGGGCAGATTCCACTATCAAAGTTGGAAATTCACTTCTACTCTAAAATTTATATCCTAACTCACTACTATCAAGTATTATATCACCAAAACTATCAATTACTAGCTCAATACCATCAATTACTAGATAAACAACCATAAGCAATGCTGAAAAATGTAAACCCTAGCTACACATTCCACTATATCATCCAAAACTAAATAATTCACCATAGTAAACCAAGGACATAAGCTTCCTTACCAAATTTAACAAGAATAAGCAAGAGAAAAGGAAAGGTAAGCATTATACCTTCCAAAGACTGCTTGTAAATGAAAACTAAACCCCTTTCTTCCAAAAATTTTACCACACAAATCTTTCCCGACACCAAAAGAGAAGTTTAACCGGTTTAGTTCAGTTGATTTCACTCAAACAAGGCAAAATCTAAGGCTGAAGTTGAAAGTTTCTCTCTTGTTTTTCCTCTCCTAAGTTCAGCCAAGATAGAAGAAAAATGGAAGAAAATGGAGCCAAGAAGAAGATAAGAAGGAAAGAAAATGCTTGGTCAAAATTTCCTATGCTTTCAACAAGTGTCACCACAAGAATAATTCTCATTTTCCTTTCTTTTCTCTCTTTTTCTTGGTCCAAAATTTCGGTTGGCTTGAGGATATTTTGGGGCTAATTTTGCTCACTTAATAACAAGAAGATTAAGATAATAAAGTAGTGTTCAAGTGATGCACTCAATCAGTAACAAACAGCGCACGTTGGTTCAAGCCGTTTTTCCTTAACGCGTGCGTACTAGTGTTTTTACTTATGGTTCACTCACTTATTATTAACACTTCTAATCACACACTTTTCTTACTTAATACTCATTTTTATCCACCAAATTTAGTACACACACCTCACCAAGTGATCACACTACCAAAATGCACCAAAGATACACCAAAAACCCTAGTATACACAAAAAAACCCTAACTTATGCCCTTCGTTTAGAAAAATCATAACTTGAGTTATAAATATCAAAATTCATACAACTTGGCCTGTTAAAAACTAGATTTCAAATATTAATAATCTTTAAAAGACACCTCAAAGAGATTTAGTTCGTAAGTTGGTCCAAATTAAGTCATAAGCTACTACAACATTCCTATGTTTACGTGTGCAGAGTAGAATTTTCAGTCAACTTTGCCAATTTTCTGGAATTTATAGAAATTGAATCAAACTCTAAATTTTACACCGTAGGAAGCTTTATGAGTCTAGTTTCAAACGCAACAAACAGAACTCAATTCCGACTTTTCTATACAAAGTTATAGCCAATTTCCCAATTCCCAAAGCTGCGCAGAGCCTCCTGCAAAAATTTCTAGATTTTCTAACAACTTGAGATTATGAAACTTTTCTTAACAAAATTCACTCCCTTGGCTCAAATTCAACCATTAAAACAACCAAGAATCTAAGGCAAGTAAGCTCAAATAAGAGCTATAAAGACGAGTAAAATTTCGGGGTCTCATAGAGATCCCACCAAAAAGCCAAATATGTAAGTTAGGAATCCAATTCTGACCCAAAAACTTAAATTTTTAGGTTTTAAATCCTTCTTATATATTAACCACTTTTTCTTCATGTCTAGAATCAATGTGGGACATAATCCTTTACTTATAAACCTAACGGACTTGCCTTTCTATGATTTTTTTTTAAAATTTCTTGTTAAAGGATGCTACAATTTCTTCACTTGCATAACTTGCTATCCTTAGAGGAAAAGTGAAAAAAAAAAAAAAAGTATCCTTTACTTGAGATATTCGTGTATAATTTATGAATGATCCATGTCCAAAATCTTGGTTCTCTCATGTCCTGCGAACTTGGAGTGCTAATTGTTCCTAATCCTAACTGCTATGTTGTCAAATATGCTTTTAACATCAAATGAATGTACTTGTGTCCATACCCCTGCTGTTGTAGGGTCACAATTAAAAAGAGCTCAGTTGGTTTGTAATTGAAGAATAACTGGAAATTATACTTGTTTCCATTGTTTCAGAAAAGGTACTATTTTTAAAAAACTTAAATGCTTTAGAATGCACAAAAACACAATATAAAGTTAATAATGGTGCTTCATTTTTCGTCTCAAAATATGGGGGATATGAGTGAGGGACTATTTGTATGCACAGCATTTCGTTTTGAAATCTTTCGTCTCTAGAAAATTAATATGATTCTGACTTAGTAATACAAGTCACCAGCAATAGACAATATACTGCTGATTGAGGGGTAAATGGTAAAGTTGAGCAAGTGCATGATACATGGATGCAGTAGTGGAACATCATGCTATATTAGGAAAAAGAGAAATGGTAGACAGCAACTTTGTTTATTATATTCTAAGAAAATCTTGCCAGAATTTTTTTGAGATTGTGCGGAAGCATATAAGATTAAAAGGGCCCCAATCAATCCTAGCATGTATTCATTTCATATGTCCTGATGATTTCTGGCATTAGTCAATCAAACATTCTCTCTTTCAACCTCTGTATATATGTACCTTCATATTCCATCAACATTTTCTAGTGGGTCATATTCAACTTGATATATATTTTCTGCAGTATTACTTTCGGCCTCTTGAGAATTGATGCATATATTAATGTTCAATCACATTATGGTATGCTTTATGTGCTACTAGTTTTCTACAAACATGATTGTATCAGTTACTTGGTTGTTTTTATTCATAACCATTTGTCAGCCGGAGAATTCCTTATCCACATCCTGGACGTATTTGGTTGGAGCAGAAAGGCTTGCAACGAGCTCTTTATTGGCACATTGAAGCTCAGGTAGTGTTGGATCTCCAAGAGTTTCAAAATTCAGTAAGCATCTTGAACAATATGACGGTGTTTGTTTTAGATGTACAGTTAAAGAATATGGGGTGTTTTTGGAGTTGTTTTGAAAATATACATTTACTGTTGTATTTGGAACGTGAAAAATAATTTTTAAAAAACAGAAGCAAAAACAAGGAATCTAAACAGATCGTCAGAAATTAGCACTAACAACAGATGGAAGCTAAATCTAAAAGCTATTTACAATACTCTCTCTCTCTCTGTTATCCCATCTTTAATTGATTTGGCCTAATATTGTGCAAAAAAAAAAAAAAGCCAAAGAAGGGAGGCACGTGAGATTTTAGAAGTTGAGGGAAGGTAAATGAAATTGTCAAAAACTTCAGAGGAGTTCTTTTAAAATTATCCTAGGACAAAAATATCCAAAATACAAGACAAATTAGATTTTTTTTTTTTAAATTCAAGTGATATTGTGAGAAATGGGAGGTTTTTGCAATTATCCCTTTATCTTTCTTTGTTTGATTTGTACTGCATCAACCTTCAAACCAGATTGGGAAAATGTCCATCTCGGCATCTCCACTCTGGAGTAGTAAGGCTGCCTTTCATTCTTCTTTCCTCCCTCTCCTCTCTCAGCTCCAAATTTCACCACCGCCCGTGCATTGCATATGATGAAAGCTTCCTCGTCTTCTTCGCCCTTTCATTCTTCCTTCTCCTTCTCTTGAATCTCTGCCACCCACTTGCTGCTGTTTAGTGAAGAAGAGTCTTCAAAGAGAGAATTTTGGGTTAAAGATTGATTTGTTATGGCTGTCTTCCTGTGCAATTGCTCATAAATTGGGTACGGGTAAATTTTTTTTTTGCTTTTTAATGTTTGTTTTTTTATACCCTAAAAGTCTCTGAAAATCATGGTGAAAGCCTGCGGACTGGTCGCTGAATGGAAGCTGAAGTTCTGTTGACTAGTCGGCCGGATCGACTCGGACTCAGCCGCGTCCTTGAAACGTGGATAGAAAGGAGGAGTTAATCTGTTCTACATTACAGTATATAGAAAGGAGGAGTTAATCTGTTCTACAATAATAACTTAGTCTTTTACATGGAATATGCTACAATCTCAAAATTGTATAAGAGAATCGATTCAAAGTGTCTTTGTTTCAGTTCAAAGCATTACTAACTAACTTTGAGTTATGGTGCTTTATATGGAAAACAACAGGCACTGGGACTTCAGCGTGGTTTACCAACAAAATTCAGTGGCCACAAGCGCCTCTAGATTTTAAACTGACAACTTTACTCCATGATCGAGGTTATCAGCAAGGCTCCAACCTCGATTCATTTAGCATTTACTCCCGATGTCAGTTTTGAATGCAAACTGAGGAACATAACTTGTGGTCTCAAATCCTGTCTGCAAAAGAGATGTGTTGCCTTGTGTTCCATCAGTGATAAACCAAAATGGAGTTCCAATGGTCATATGCCAAATGATGGTCATAGCAAATATAGAAACCATCATAAAAATTATAGTTCAGAGGAAGAGGAGGAGGAGAGAAAAGTCCATTGTGAAGTTCAAGTGATATCATGGCGAGAACGTAGAATTAAGGCTGAGGTAGTAGTTAATGCAGATGTGGCTTCTGTTTGGGATGCCCTTACCGACTATGAACGGCTTGCTGATTTCGTTCCGAATCTTGTGAGTAGGTAAACTCATGCACACATTTTTTTCCTCTTCCAACTGATGGCAAACTTGAGTAATTTTATGCTTTTGGTGGTGCTGCTACTGGACTTTCCTGTCTATGATTTTTTTTTTTTTTTTTAACTTTCTTGGTTAAGGATACCACAATTTCTTCACTTCTGTAACTTGCTGTCCTTAGAGAAGAGGAAAAGAAGTATCCTTTACTTGAAATATTCATGTGTAATTTATGAATGATCCATTGTCCAAAATCTTGGTTCTCTCATGTCCTGGGAGCTTGGAATGGTAATTGTTCTTAATACTAACTCTTGCTGTTGTCAAATATGCTTTTAAGATCCAGAATGTATTTGTATCTATACCTCTGTTGTTGTAGATTCACAAATACAAAGAACTTGGCTTCTAATTGAAGAATAACTGGAAATTAGGCTTGTTTCTATTGTTTCAGAAAAGGTGTGATTCATAAAAACTTAAATGCTTTGGAATGCATGAAACACACAATGTAAAGTTAATGACTGTACCTCTTTTTTTTCGTCTCAGAATATGGGATATGAGTGTGGGACTATTTGTATGCACAGAATTTCGTTTTGAAATCTTTCATCTCTAGAATATTAAGATGATTCTGACTTAGTAGTACAAGTTGCCAGTAATGGACCATTTAGTACTGATTGAAGTGTAAAGTTGAGCTAGTGCATGATACATGGATGCAATAATGGAAGGTCATGCCATATCAGGAAAAGAAAAATGGTAGACAGCAACCTTGTTCATTATATTCCATGAAAATCTTACCAGAATTTGTTTGGGATTATGTGGAAGCGTAGGAGAGAAAGGGTTCCAATCAATCCTAGCATGTGTTCATTTCATATGTCCTAATGATTTCTAGCATGGGTCATATTACAGATGTCCTTTGAAGCTCTAATGATTTCATTGTACTATGGTTGTTCTAGAATCTATAAATGGAGACATAGTGTAATTAGAGTTACTTCCTTACACAATATTGTGTTAAAAAGCTTCACTTGGATGAAGTTTTTGCAGGAATCAGGTATGCATTATGACAGTGTTTTAGATATGTCACTTGTTGCCCTTATGACAATGTTTTAGATATGTCACTTGTTGCCCTTAAATATTCCATCACCATAAGCATTAGAAGCTTCCTCTGGTTCTTGTCATTTAACTAAAAATTGCAGTTCTTTGCTCTTTCAACCTCTGTAAATTTGTACCTTTATACTCCATCAACATTTTCTAGTGGGTCATATTCAAATTGATTTTCATTTTCTATAACATCACTTTCAGTCTTTTGGGAATTAATGGATATGCTAATTTCAATCACATTACAGTATGCTTCATGTGCTACTAGTTTTCTATAAACATGATTGTAGTAGTTAATTGGTTCTTTTTATTCATAACCATTTGTCAGCATGAGAATTCCTTGTCCACATCCCGGACGTATTTGGTTGGAGCAGAGAGGCTTGCAACGAGCTCTTTATTGGCACATAGAAGCTCGGGTTGTGTTGGATCTCCAAGAGTTTCAAACTTCAGTGAGCATCTTGAACAGTATGATGGTGTCTGTTTTAGATGTCCAGTTAAAGATTCAGAAAGTTGTGCTAAGAACAGACGGAAACTAGCTCTGAAAACTCTCTCCAATCATAGATTTGCCTTACGTTACTTGATATGCCCATAACTGTATTTGTCAGGCTGCTATTTGAGCTGCAAATTGCTTTTGCGTCTGTTACATAGAAACTTTCTTCAAGTGAACAACATTTAACTATTGAACTTTGATAAGGATATGAGTAGGGTAAGGGCGAATATATACATCAACGCTTTAAGGTAACTGGTGCAGTTCTTTGAGCATGGTGCCTGAGGGATCTTGAAAAACATTTTGCCCATTCAAGGAGCTCCATGATATTAATTATGATGTATTAGATTATAGAGCTGTCCTATCCTTCTACAGTCCGTCATTTTGTTACTGATATTGTGCAGGAGAAATTCTAATAACAAAAGAGTTACTATCATATCCATCTTCGTTTCCTGACAAGCAATGCTGCTAAGAAACTAGATTCGTTTAGACCTTCCCTTAGTTGAGAAGTTAAAAGAAAGGCATGGGCAGAACTGGTATTTCCACTATTTTTGAGGGCAAAGAAGATTTTTCCAAGCGTTACTGTACTTGTCCATTCTGATAGAGTAGGTAGCAGTAACAAGGCATTCTTATGTGATAACTTTATCTCAGTTTTTAACTATTTGCAAATGACATTTATTCAGGCAAATGACCATGAACTCCAGTTTTCCATGGTTGATGGTGATTTCAAGAAGTTTGAAGGAAAATGGTCTGTCAAATCTGGTAAAAGGTAAATTCTGGTGTAACATATTTTGCATCTCCTTCCTGGTGATGTGTGTTTCTGATTAAAGACTCATGTATCATTTGTTCTTAACATTTTTGGCAATCCATGCTGGTTATGCATCTCATTGGCAAACATGTACCTCAAAACTATACTAAATAATTGAATAATGAAAGCTTAGTGACGTGACGTGAATAACTATTCTCATATTCACTCTAACAAAATGGTGCAAAAGATAGAAACTGAATGAAGGAAGATAAAGTCAAATGAACTTCTCGTAGGCAAGGTTTATCCATTCCCCCGCCCCCCCCAACCCCAAAAAAAAAATTTTGTAATATATTTAACACCAAGGTGGTCTTTCCCCAAAAATCATTAAATAATATCATAATTATGAATGAATCCCATGATACTGTTGCATGAATGTAGCCTCTTCTTTTAGTTTTGGAGCCTTTATTCAACAAAAATGATATTGTTTACCTTTACATAGCATAGGTAAACATCTTTAGTGACAGAGACAAACATGCGTTGGAATTTTGGTCATCCTCTAGATCTTGCTTGCAATGTAATCATATTTACTTCCTTTCTTGCTTCCTTTTTGAAAATTTGCCTCACATTCTTCTTTTCTGCAGTTGCAAGATGATGGTGGCTCGATTAAAATATAAGTGTTATTGATCCAAATCTTCCTTTTTTACCATGAGTGTCGCATAACAAACCTTTGACATCACATAATATTGTGTGCTGTATTAACAGTTTGAACTTCATGACCGATGATCACATCTTTAAAGCGTTCAGCTAATAATTGTTTCAACTTTATGCGCATCTATTATTGTTGTCATATATCTTAAACTTGTGTCTTGATCTTCTTATGCAGAGACAGATACATCATATTTACAGGTTTTTTATTTTTTATTTTTTGTGATGACTCTTTCATATACCATTATAAGAAACTGATAAATAAAAGCGATTACCATAAGGACTGGCCTTTATTTTCAATATGAGAGATGATACCTTTATCAGAAGATTGGCAGATTGTCTGCTGATCATAGAAAGAATGACAAAATTCTTTCTTTGCTCTTCAATTATGCTACAGTTGGATCACTCAGTAATATGAGGTCCTGTTTTGCATGGCTAAATTTTTGTATGATACTGACAATGGTAAATCATCAATGACTTTGTCACTTAGGATAGGGAAAATGTAACTCCTCAAATTACTTAGTACCTAGTCAGAATAGGGAAGCAACTGGTACACTTTAACTAAATAGTTTATTTAGATAAGCTTCAAGCAAATGATGTGTCTAAAGGTGATCAGCTTCTCTTTTAGTCACACAAATGATGCAGACAATTTTTTTTTTTTTTTTTAGTTTATAATATCGTCTCTTGTGGACTTTGCAGGTTCTCAAAAACTACTTTGAGTTATGAGCTAAATGTCATACCAACATTCAACTTCCCTGCAATTTTCTTGGAGAGAATAATCAGCTCAGATCTTCCTGTGAATCTTCAAGCCATGGCTTGCAGAGCTGAAAGTACTTTCAAGAACAGCCAGAATTCATTGACTGATGAAGCTCCTCCAGTTACAACATTAGCAGACTCCTTTACTTCCACAAGTTCAGATGTCAGTGGTGTTGCATCAGACAAGAATGATTTTCCCACTGGAGAATTAAAAGAAAAATTGCTCAAGGCTACCTTGAGCCCCTTATCTCCCGCAAAAAGTGAGTTAAGCAGTAATTGGGGAGTATTTGGGAAAGTATGCAAGCTTGATAAGCCATGTATGGTAGATGAAGTTCATCTTCGAAGATTTGACGGCCTTTTGGTAACTGATGACTCTTCAGGAAACCTTGCATTTACCTGTGAAAGCCATGTCTGAGAAAGCTGTCTAACCCATCATTTGGTCTTCTTGTGAAGGAAAATGGAGGTGTTCACCGTTGTGTTATTGCTAGCATAACCGTAAAAGCTCCAGTGCCTGAAGTTTGGAATATTTTGACCGAGTATGAGAGACTTCCTGAGTAAGTAACAAAGGCTTTCATTTCAGACCTCTGAATCCTGGAGAATAATAGGGAAACTAATATGTTTCGTGAATGTCCTTTTCAGTATCCTGAAATCATTGTCCACATTCTAATTGATCTTAAACCATCTTCAACTGGATCATCATGTGATAAGAACATTTTCTCTGTAAATGGAGCACTATTCATTCTGGCACGAATTGAATTTATTGAAAGCTTCAGTTTTGCAATACATATAAAATCAATTGTCCACTGAGGATGATAAGAATAATCTCGTTATGTTTCAAGGCCCACAGCAACAAGAAGAAAATATGCTAAACCTTGGCACGAGTAGAAATTTAGGCAAGAGAAACTGCCGTCTTGAAAGAAATTGAACTTTCTGCATTGCACAGTCTCTAGATTTAAATTTTCTCTCTTGGTCCTCTCTTTCCACCCCATATTAAAACAGAAGTTGAATTAAGATCATTGCTGGAAAGTTTATGATAATTTACAGTTTCAAGCACAGGCTACAGAATCTGACAACCTTGAGAAAATCATTAGCTTAAAATGTTCTAATTAACAATAAAAAATGGGATATTCTGAATACTTTGCATGGTCTAGGTATTTTTAGAAATATGAATCTAGAAGGATATGGTTTCCCTTGGAATGTTATTTAGCTTAATGAAACAGAGAATACAACTCATAGCAATATCTCTTTCTTTTTCTCATCCTTGTTTTTGTTCTTTCGAGATCAAGGAGTCATGAAATGCTTAGCTATCTATTATAATAGTATAACGAACTGAAAAAGTTCATATCTACAAGGAGTTAAGGTTGTAGGCTTTCTAATAAAAAGGTTGGATCATTGGGTATGAGAAGGTCAGTAAAGAGGTTGGATCATTCTGAGTTAAAGCCCTGATGCTTAGCCTGAGCAAATGATTATTCTGTATTAAATTATAAAACAACAGCCCCTGTTGCTTTTGAACAATTAATCTCATTTAGCTATCAAGCTAGAGTGGAGGAATGAGGAAATTCATGTGTCTCTGCATGCAGTGAGAGAGAGAGAGAGAGAGAGTATGTGTGTGTGTGTGTATGAATGACAATAGGAGTAGTAATGGAATAAAGATTGACATATTAGGGGATAATAAAAAGAGAGGAATTTTTTTTATGTTTCCTCTGAACGACATCTTCTATGTACACACTGTACATAGAATAAAGTTTTTACATTTTGGATCCAGCATAAATGAAACTTTCTCTTTACTTTCTTTTAACTAGTGCAGGATAGTTCCAAACTTAGCTATCAGCAAGATTCTGTCACGCGAGAACAATAAAGTTCGCATTCTTCAGGTACAAACTGCTGTTTTCATACTAACAATTGATGGTGATATATCAATTGATGCTGTTTCCCTTTAGAAATGTCCATGTTTGTCTCATACGTACAATCTTATTGCTGTGCTTTTTCAGGAGGGATGCAAGGGTTTGCTATACATGGTACTTCATGCACGTGTTATACTTGACTTGTGTGAAGTACTTGAACAAGAGATTAGCTTTAAGCAGGTTGAAGGTGATTTTGATTCATTCAGGGGGAAATGGAGTCTAGAGCAATTAGGGAATCATCACACACTGTTGAAATACACTGTGGAGTCAAAAATGCGGAAGAATTCATTTCTTTCTGAAGCTATCATGGAAGAGGTTTGTCTCCATTGCTGTTTATTACAAGAATATAGTGTTTTCCTTGTCGAATTACGTCACTTTAGTGTGCATTGATGTATACGTATACATATATGTGATGGCATATATAATTTTTTCAGTTTAAAGTCCTTTTCACAAAAGATGAAATTCCAGGAAATGATTCTGTTAATCTTCATAATTATATCTGCTGTGACGTTAGAATCCATCAAATGGATTATCAATCATCCTTGGCAAAATTTTATGGACTTGTAGGTGATATATGAAGATCTCCCTTCAAATTTATGTGCAATTCGAGATTATATTGAGACAAAGGTTGCTGAAAACACTTCCAAGGCATTTGACTATTCAGCTTACACAAATGAGCTTTTTGCTTCATCTTCCAACGAGAATGCTGCCAGTAATGATGAGCCAGCTAATCAAAATTTGAGTTCAACTGCTTCAGATTCATCTAGACAGAGACCTAAAGTTCCAGGATTGCAGAGAGACATTGAAGTTCTCAAATCTGAACTCTTCACTTTTATAGCTGAACATGGACAAGAAGGCTTTATGCCCATGAGAAAGCAACTTCGGAGGCATGGAAGGGTGGACATTGAGAAGGCAATCACGCGCATGGGAGGATTCAGAAGAATAGCTGCCTTGATGAATCTCTCTCTTGCATACAAACACCGCAAGCCAAAAGGTTATTGGGACAACCTTGAGAATTTGCAAGAAGAGGTTAGTTATTAGTTATTGAAAATCTGAGTCAATGAGAAAATCATGCAGCTAGCTCCCCCCCCCCCCAAAAAAAACCAAAAACAAAAAAAAACTAAAGATTGCTAAGCCTATGACAGAATCGAAATTAAAGGGTTAGCATTCTAGACCTCGACATACTTACAACAGTGTGCTTGACTTCTCTATTGAAATCTTTGTGCTGGACTAATGTCTAATTCTACAGATAAGTTGGTTCCAAAAGAGTTGGAGAATGGACCCATCATTCATGCCCAGCAGAAAAGCTTTTGAGCAAGCAGGTGCAGAAAATACATTTCATCTTGTTTTCTTGTCATTTCAGTGATAATGTTTTAGAATTTACTTATAACCAGAAAAAGACTCAACTTTTGCACTAGCTGGTCCAGCTTGTCTTATGCATAAAAAGTTTCACAAAATCTTATTGGTAATCCTTTTATACGCATGAAATGAAGTCTAGATATGCTGGAGTGATTTTGATGTGGATGCATAATTTGAACTTAACATCATCAGAACATGTATATGTCTAAATAGTTCTTCAGCAAGTACGCTCCTTCAAATATCTTAATCAACATATACTTTTCAGGTCGCTTTGATATTGCACGTGCATTGGAGAAATGGGGAGGTCTTCATGAAGTTTCACGTCTTCTTTCACTTAAGGTGAGGCATCCTAACAGGCAGGCAAGCTTAGCAAAAGAAAGAAAAATGGAAGTTTTGGCGCCTAACGAAGACCAGGCACCATCTAAGCCTTATGTTTCGCAAAACACTCAGAAGTGGCTGACAAAAGTGAAGGAATTTGACATAAATTGGGTGGAATGATATCTGTATCTGTTGTTCTCGCTAATTATGTATTTGCTGTAAATTAATCAAAAATTTCGGTATTAAGGAAGAGTAAGATTATGTATAGACCATGTTCCAATTTCCTTTATATATGATGAACGCTGGTGTCTGAGAATTCATAATGGATCCAAGATCTGGATCAGCCCCACTAGATGTTACAGCATTAAGGTTACCTCTAATCTTCCAATGTGTTAAACAGGGAAAAAGTTTCAGAACTTCCTTCTCTCTTACCCAAGATTTGTAGCAGAAACTTATAAAGAACTTTGGCAACGAGTAAAGTGGCTAAAGATTTTATAGTGTGGCTGGATTTCTGTGGAATATTAATGTGGGACGTATAGTCTTTAAACAGAATCAAAAAGAAATACGAAAGCTAAGGATCTAGTACAGGATGTGAAATTGATGCATAATTGTGTGAAATGATGCATATTGTGAAGCCATGAAATCAATACTAGCATTTGAAAAAGAAACAAAAAAAATAAACAAAAAAAATTATTGCTTAACTTATTGCCAATGCAGTCTCCACATTTATATAACTTGGAAATCAACACTTTTGGAAAGGTCCAGCATAGGCTCCTGAATTACAAGCATTCGAACCATATTATCTGTAAATTAGCTTCCTGAGGCCAAGAAATGATGATGATGTTTAGTAATTTCAAAAAAACATCACTAAACCTTCTTGGGTACCTTTCTTCGCTACTTTTGAATGAAATGTGAGATCAAATGTAGGCTCCAAAATGTAATAAAATAGATCTTGCCATCTATAGAGTTTCTTATCAATTATTGACATTGGAAACTAACAAATAAACAAGCTTCCACCAATCTAGTACACAAGTTAAACAAAGTAAAAAGAACTTATTTAGGGCATACAAATAATAATACTAACATGAAAGCTAGAGCATAAAAAAGAAGAAAAAGAAAAAGGGAAGAAACATAGAGGTGGCAATTTATCCTAAATCCCGATGAACTACCCATGCCCAAAGGGACTTTGGGTGAAATGGGTATTGTAATTTGATATTGGATTTAAAATGGGACATATCCCAATTGTATCCATTAATTGATGGGAAATGTTGGGAAATACTTGGGTACCAATTGGGCCCAAATATGTTCCCAAAAAATTTCATTTCCGACCTGATCAACTCCTCTCCCTTGTCATCTCCGACCTCTGCAGCTCCCTCAACCATTCCTCCACCTCCCTTTCTTCCTCCGCTCACCCTTGGCTACTCCCTCAACTTTTGTCAATTATATCTTGTATCCTGTTCATGCCACCCTCAAAAATCCCGATAGGTATTTCATCCTCATATCCCTTCCTTCCTAATTTACTCCTCGGTTTTCTTGTTTATATTTGGGTATTTTTTTATAATTTGTTTCTTTCCCTTTAATACAATAATTGATTTTTTGCATGCTGTCAATTGGCTGTTTCCTATTTGATGTAGTGGGAATTGCTGTAAATGTGTTGTGAAGGATGAGAAAGCTAGACTTTGAACGGGGAAACCATTTGTGTAGCAGATGAATGCTTATGTTCCATATGCGAATGCATCATATGGTTTAATATAAAGGTTCACATCTTCAGCCAAGCTAAATAATGGCCTAAATGGGTTCCAATAACCAAAAACTTTGGTTTGGTTGATTATTTGAAATAATTTTTTGAAAAAAAAATATTGCAGAATGTAAATCATTCTAGAGTGTAAAATGAATTCATGAAAATATAAATTCACAATAAGACTAAAAGAAATTTAATAAATCAAAATTATTAAAGTTTATTTAAAAAATAAAAAATGAATTAAAGGAAAAAAAATATGTAAAAAGTAGATTTGGGTATTGGACGGAATCAATCTAAACCCATCCCAAAGTAATCATGTCCAAGTTAGTCCCAAAACACATATGAGTAATGTTGAGCCCAAACCTATTTGATTCGGTTATATCTCAAACCCAAGAAAATCCCGCCCGCCCATTTTGCCATCTCTTTTTTCTTCAAGAAACTAAAATGAAAATGGTAGGAAATAATAAAAATGATAATAATCAAAGATAGAATGGGTAATCTTATCTAAACATGGAATAAACGGGGAAAATTGCCTATTAAAGGAGTTAGGGGGATAAACTGCAACTCACTATATAATCTAAGGGGGTCTAGTGCATTAAACCCTTTAGTTTATAACTATTATCTATTAGTAATTTCCGTCTACTCAAGTATACAAAGTATATTTCATGGAAGAGTTGGAAGTAGAAAACTGTCGTCATGCTGAACATCAACTGTGCAATAATATGTCCTCTTCAAAATGGAAAAGATCAAGAACCCCCATTGAAAAAACACCATATTGAGACCCACTATATACAATAAAAAAATTTAGAAAAGTAAGAACGAATTCAAGCAGTGAAACTTTTCCTTATCTAAACTACAATTAACGGTCTCATGTTCAGGTATATTAAGATAGAATAGCACATAGAGCTGATACAACATAGTGACCAATGTACATTACACTTCCATGAACCAAACATAATTCAGTTATAAAAAAAAACTTAGCCATCATCATTTCAAGCTAATCCCATCAAGATTACAACATAGTGACCAATGTATATTACGCTTCCATGAACCAAACATAAGTCAGCTTTGAACAAATAACTTAGCTATCATCATTTCAAGCTACTCCCATCAAGAGCTGGCAAGCTATCAAACAAGACTTCAGAAGCAGTGTCTAGTTCCTGCTCTGATATTGACTAATGGAGGGGCAAGCCTAACAACATTGCCTTTCCCTGCAGTGAGTATGAGAAGACCAGATTGTTGACATGCATCAAGGAGTGGTGAGGCAGATACATCCCGCTCTATGCCAATAATAAGCCCTAAACCCCGTACTTCTTTCACATGTGGATTTCCCCCTAGTTTCTTAACTAACAATTCTTTAAAATATTTGCCTTTCTTCACGACACTGGCCAAAAACCTAGGTTTCGAGATTTTATCCAGCACGGCAATTGCAGCACTGCAAACAAGGGAATTGCTAGAAAAGGTGCTACCATGATCTCCAAAATTAATGCTGCCAGCAACCCTTTCAGGTGTCAGCACAGCCCCATTTGGTAGACCACCAGCAAGAGGTCTGGCAAGAATCATCATATATGGATATATGTCATAAGCGTCATGAGCCCAAAGATAACCAGCCCTACTTAGGCCACATTGAACCTATAGGATAAAGAAAGCATTAGGAGTCCCTCTTAGTAAACCACACATTAAACAGACAGTAGTATAAGGGAATACCATGGAGTAATCAAACAAGTACATTCAGATTTGATGTTTAGCATCCTAGTCTTTCAAACATTTCAGGATTAATTTACCATGTAAAAGGTTTAATGCGATAACCATCCAATTGTAGTAATTGAAAACTTGGACTAAGAACTACATTGGACGGATAAGCCCAATAGATTCATGAGCTGAGGAGCCTTTTTTTCTGATTTCAACACAAGGAATATTCCATCACATCATCTTTCTCAATCTTAAATCCCATGTTTTGACTGTTTGATAGGCCTAGCATTAATGTCAGTGGCAACAATTGTTAAGCAATTCCTTTAATGAAAATCCAAGACGTGAGATCAAAAGGAAAAACGTGAAACAACCACCAAGAGTTAGCTGCAGGATGGGATACCTGAATAGCACCTAGGCACACTTTTCCCTGTGCTTCCAGAAAGCCTATTATGCAACAACAAATGGGGATATGCGATATGGCTCTTGTGCCTCACTTAGTACTCGGTGTTCCTTGTGCCCAATTGCTGTCTTAATAAAAAAATGCTATAATTTCCTGAGAGACAGTAACTTACCTCATCCAAAACAAGAAGCACCCCAGCACTATCCAGGCTGTGCGCAATGCCTCCAAAAACTCCTTTGTGGCACTGTATATACCACCTTCACCCTGGATAGGTTCTACAAAAACAGCTGCAAGAAAGCTGACTCCAGGCATCACTGGTTCAAAAGGAATTCTGTAATGCTTCTTGCTTGTTAAAGCAAGAGCTCCCATAGTCCTTAATTGCTGAAGGCAATGAACTCCTCAGGTGGATGTTTTTCGCTGGGATGCAAAGATCTCTGAAATTTGCTTGCTAATTTTATTGCAGATTCATTTGCTTCCATACCAGAGTTCGTAAAGAATACATGATCAGCTAATGAGCTAGCAACCAAACGCTTGGCAAGTTCAACCTGAAAATTCCAGAATACTTTAATAACATTTATCTTGCACACAGAAAAACTGAGTGTGAAATGTAGAAGACCAATTTAGTCTTCTAGGAAATTCTTACATTGATTAGTTAACTGAACAACCATCCATCATACCATCCATAGTTTCCCAAACAAATCAAATTTGCTAATCCAGAAAGTCCTAAAGCACCAACAACTAACATAATTCACATGCTTTTAAGTCCAAAATACTACACTATACTACTATTTCTTTCCTCGCCTAGAATCGACACCAGTTTCAAACCTGAAACAGATTTCAAATTCAATTAACAGACCTTCAAAATCATAAAAAAAAAAAACATATATTCCATATCAATCATTTGTAATTAAAAGAAATCCATTTGCTCAGATGATACCAATTATTGATTCAATTGTTAAATAAACAAAAACAAGAAGCAGAAAAATAATTAAAAAAAAAAGAAAGAAAATTTGCCTGTGGAACAGAGCAATATATGTTGCTGACATGGGCGTGGGTATTAGCTTGGTGAGTAAGCGCCTGCAGCCAATCAGGATCACCATGGCCAAAGGCATTTACAGCAATCCCAGAGCTCAAATGCAAATACCCTCGACCATCAATATCATACAACTCACAACCTTTGCCGCTGGAGAGCACAACAGGGGCTCTTGCATACGTTCCCACCAAACCCTTTTCTCCTCCTCCATTATCTCTTTAGCCCTTTGAGCATTTTGTCCTAAGGCTGGCGGCCTGGGTGAGACAGAATCTGGTGCCTTGACGTCCACATTCAGGCAAGCTAATGGGGACAGAACTTGACGGTTTGGGAGTTTGAATAAAGTGAATGGCGGAAACTAATTGGGTTTATGGAGAAGAGATGAATGGAGCTGCTCATGGTTTTGATTTAGGGTTTTGAAATGAGTGGAATTGGCTATAGAGATCGGGATTTCATTTCAGTCAAGGAAGAGGGAAGAGGGAAGAGG